CAAATGACTGACAATGGTAGACGTAGCCACAACCGACTGGACAATGATGGACATGACTGCATGGATCCAAACTTTTATTACTTTTCTCTTCCAGGTGAAATTACATATCGTCGGTCTCCGCACGTAGTGGCGTAACTGACAAAATGGAAAATTTTGAGTTACGCTAGTAAAATACATATTTTTAGGTGCTCTATAACCTCAAGCATTATTAAACGTATAGGTGTAACTGTTTTGGTGGAATTTGATTCTTAGATTTTGGCGTATCTGCCACATAATATAATTAATTTTCCACGTATAGGCGTATATTCACTTACGCCCTTACGAGAGATTGAAAAATTTTTATCCAATAATTTTTTACAGTGGCGTATCTACAATCTGCGAGTCATGTTTTTATACTCATAACATTACCTACGAAAATTTAGCTTCCAGTTTCCAGTATTTGCCTAGAAGCGGACCGTTTGTAAGAATTTTTTCGAATTTGGTTAGTTTTATTATTTTTCTAATATATTATTTTTATTGTGATAGTGCATTGCCAGTTTCTAAATAGAATTATTCATTTTTGACTGTGTTTTTTAATTTTTTTTGGGAAGACTATTTTGGCGTAAATGAAACTATTCAGCAAAAAAATATAACGTAGAGGCGTAACTAAATATATTATTTTGGCGTAACTGAAAAACTTCAAAAAAACATTATCACATAGAGGCGTAACTATTCTAAATATTTATTTTTCCGAAAAACCGGAAAGGCTTACAATTTCTTATTAGTATCTATGTAAAGCGTAACTATTGAGCAATCAAATAAAAAAACAACAATTAGCAGGGTTCTAATATTTTTCACTGTACAGCTATTTAATTTGGTTACACTTTCGTTTTTTTCCTCTCCTGGAAAATTTACAAAATGCTAGTTACGCCACTACGTGCGGAGACCGACGATATGTGTCAATTCCCGAAAAACAGTTCATGATTCGACTGAATCTTTAAAGCAGGGAAGCCCCGGGGGAGCCTAATGCCATAGTTGCCCTGGACCTCATTTGTTGCACTAAATATACACCGTAAGTATGGTAAGTGTTTGCAGTGGTGCCTTCCTAGCTGGCGAGTGAAGGTTGAATTAATGGATAGTTGACGGTTTTGGCTGTACAAGTGTAATTTCAAAGTGCATTAGGCCTAACGGGGAAAGCACTTGAAAAAAAAAACGCACCGACAGCTCGTACCTCTAGGGTGGTGTGGAAATTGGGCTTGAAGTTACAATTTTGAAACTTAACAAGGTAAGTTATTGAAAATAAAACTTTCTTTATTAAAATTATAAACTTTTTGTTATAGGGCAGCACTAATAACCGAGAGTTTTAAGCTTAAATCTGCAAGACTTGTGACTGGAATCCAGAATTATATGAAGTCATGGTAAAAATCCTGGTAAGTTTTTTTCATTTTGGACATTGGAATCAAGAATCAGACCTATTTCCAAATTGGGGAAAAGATGGCTTTTCAATGTTTCAAGTTTGAGTTAATTTTTCCAGGAAAAAAAGATCTCAGATCAACTTCCAACTTCCAGAAACAAAATTCAAGTTTGGAAAATTTATTTTCATGATTTATATAGCTTTTTTGATCTATTTTGGCTATGGAATTTGTGTTTTTGAGCAACGAAAGGGCAATTTTACACGAATTTCCAGACTGTGAAATTGGCAATTTGAAATTTTCCGATTGATTTTTTATTACTTACATTCATTTCACTATATTATGTATGTACAAGATTATCCAACAAAAGTACTTTCTACCTTATATACCTGTTATAATTGAAGAGGTAATATCTCAATATCCATGAGAGGTATCGTGCCAAATTTTTCTGAGATTGTAGCTCTTACTGAATGCTTTGATGTGGTATTTGAGAAATATTTGTACCACCAGTGGTTTTTCAGCAATTGCAACTTGAAGTTTTGGATGAAATTTAGGCAAAATTCCAACTTTGAGGGCTGAAAAAGCCCATTCTGGCAAGCTACATGGAGTGGCCAGTATCATGGCCCTGGAGTCTAATAAAAAGGAGATATCTAGAGACCGCACTTTAAGGACAGATACGAGATACCACAATAAATCTGACTAGGTTGCAGTGGTAGAGGACGCCTCTGCGCCATCTCCATTCAAACAAGTCTAATCTTATCTAATACTATACATTATGTTACCACGATACTGAATAACGCTTACCAATATGACACAACAACGCCCTGCATCGCACGCGTTGGCATCGCTAGAACGGCATCGCTCAACGCTCACCACTTGAGCGGTGTCAATGTGAACGCTCACTAACTGTTTTGAAATAACTGATTTGGATTTGAACTGCATTGAATGCTTATTAAATAAGGTTTAAAGTTCTACAGCAATTTGAATTCGTTCTTAAACGCTTTCTGAAATGCATTTTGTAAATTTTAACCTGAATACTATCTGATGCTTTTCAAAATGTTTTTGTAGATTCTAGAATGTTTTGGAGCATTCTAAAATGGTTCTGAAGTTTCCAAATTGTTCTGAAGCGCTATAGAATGTTTTTTGGAAGTTCTAAATTAATTTTTAGGTGTTTTGAAGATACCAAAAGGCTTGTTATAATTAAGTGTTCTAAATGGTTTCCCAATAACTTCTAAATTGAATGAGAAACAAATTCTGTGGAAAGTTTTTATAGACATCTTAAAGACGTCTCTAAAATATACACAAACGATATTCAAGACGTCTTGCTTACAGCCATCTTGAAGACGTCGTATGTTACAAAATCCAACGTCTATGTCTGAAAGACATTAAATAGACGTTTCTACCGTTCAGACGCAATGCAGACCTAAACAAGACGTCTTTACGACTGCTATCTGGCTTGCTGGAAATTTTCTATAACACAACCAAGAGCCGCGGTAATACCTATGTGGTGCAAATTTTGATTATTATCAGCTCTTGATTGGCTGGAAACTTTAAGAGCTAAATTTTCCATAAACTTCAAACTTTTGAGGTCATAAGAGCTGGTAATAATCCAAAAATTTAAAGCCAGTGAAATGTGATTTTCCTGTTAGATTATCATTTTTAGATAGACAAAAGGCCGCAAAAGTAAAGATCAAAAAACCCTTTTATCCTTTTGAGTGGTTTTACGATGGATTAAAAGGCAAAATATTGACTTTCTTGAAAGCTCTGGGTGCAAATTGGAATTTTTCCTTTCAGCGTCCTTTAATAGAAAAGAGGAAACGTTTTTTTTTATATAGTAAAAATAACCCAGACACCAATAATAAAGCCATTGACCATATAAAACAATAATCAATCAAAAACTATTTTCATGGGTAATTGTAATTTAACGAGTGCAGTAAACAAACCATAAATAACAAAATGGTTTAGAAGGCAATCAATTATGATTCAATTAAATCAATTCTACACAATCATAAATAGACTATAGTATAGGTACCTTGTTTTGTGGGCAATATCCTAGAAATCATAATTCCTTTAGCTTATATCATCCACACACTTGCACAAAACATCAAAAATACCTAAACGAGCACATTTCGACACTGGGAAATCTTATCAGGAAACAATTAAAGAAGGCCTTATCCTTATTTGCAAATTATTCATCGAGAATCAGTACCGTATTCAAGTCGAGTGTCGACGTTAATTATTTTGGAACTAAAGGTAGTTTAAATGTAATTAGTCGAGGTTCTTTGATTGGATTTTGCGCACAATCGAATGACTTTCAAAAGCAATTAGGTATAGAAGAAACTTTTGTGTATAAATATATGTACTTTAAGTTTTTATTTTTGCAATCGGCAAGTCCTTATCTGATATATTCACAAGGATTTCTGTTTTGTTCGTCAACTACTGATAAGGTGTAGTGATATTAGGGGTTTCTACAATCGACATTAAACATTCAATTAGGAACAATTATTATAAACGGATGATTGATCAGGTATCATGTAATTAATTATTGTTTGCCAGGATGTTTGTCAATAGTAAGTAAATTAGGGACCTTTTGCATGTTAGAAATCAGCAAACAGTCGTTTTATGTAATGTCCTGCGTTGTAAGTGTCTCTAAGCTCTAAACAATTAATTGAAAACCCTACAAAAGTAGGTAGCGATTTTTGCAAACTTTGGGTTGTAACTTACAAATAGCTAGTTGTACCGCATGTCATAAATACATTACAAATGTTAGGTAATGTAAGTAGAAATTAGAAATCAGCTAAAAGTAATTTTGTGTAATGTCACCGACTTTTGTCTCATTATACAGAGTTCAAGTTTATGTCAGAATGCCAGAGAAAACTCAAGAATCCTCTACAATTGATTCTCCTAGAGCTGGTTATTGAATGAAAATTGTATGATTCATGAAAATCTTATTCACGGCTCTAGTAGAGCCAAAATCGAAACGGAGAAGTATTCAAAAAAAAATCGTAATTTTTCAAATTTCAAAACGGCATTTTATTAGTCATAAAATTGCGCAACTTTGCCATAATTCAACCGACCTCGTATCTCTTATAGTTTCCGATATCTCAAAGGTCACCCTCGAATTTGGGACACCCTGTATACATAGGTACATGAAAAGAAAATATTTTGTGGATTAAAAAGAATAATAATAAGATAAAAGAGTTGAAAATATGGAATAAAAACAGTGGAGAATGAGAGAAATATGGAGAAGAAATACAGAAAAAATAAATATTTGCTGCGACAGACAATTACCTACTGTGCAACGTTTCAGCATCCTCAATATCATCAACCAAAACTGGTTCTGGACCCTTATTCTCGAAACAGGCGACCAGATACTGGTTCTGTCTTAGTCGCCCATATTTTTATCAACCGTTCCCGTGAGAACGCTGTTCCCATGTTCCGAGAATAAGGGCCTAAAAAAATAACCCTCGCCTTTAAGGTCTGTTCGCACAAAAATCACAAATCAGTCAGAACATTTTTGATTGGTTGCAAATTGCCAACAAACAGTTTTCTGACCAATGAAATTCGCTCTGACTGTTTTTTTTTTTTTTCAAATTTGATTTTAATTACCTCTTTTGCAACCTCCGCCGTTAAGTGCGCCTGCCACAGCGGCAATCGTGGCCTCCTCCACGTCGTGCAACGCGCCGTAGCCGACGTGCCACGAGCGACGCGTCTGCGCACGCGCCGTCGCTCTGCTGTTCGCGTCCGCCCACGCTCCGTACGTCAGACAGGCGGTTTTTCGTCGGGTCGCGTTGTTATCCGCACGCGATTGACGCGCGGTTGCCGGTAGCGTCATTTCCGTTGCGGTGACTAGACGCGTCCGGGTGCGTTTTTGACGTATGCGCAGGAAACCGGATCGATGGTGCCTGGAACAAGAAAAAAATATAATGGAATGTTGAGTCGATTAAAGGCGATTAACCACTCGGTTATATTGACAGATGAACAATGCATTTAACGTCATTTATAACCGATTTGTTGACAAATGATGTTTGCTTCATTGGTTATCTGTCAACTATGACCGACTGCCGACTGGTTAATTGCCTTTAATCGATGTAACTCTTTGGAAGGCAATTTTTTATGTTCTATATTATAATGTGTCAAAACTGTCAAACTCGTAATTTCGCGTCCATGTTAACCAGGCTTTATTCTGTTTATTGAGGACGAATCCTCACGGGCGTAATTGACGTAAGCGTAACTAATCACATGATTTAATTTGTGCGCTTTCATTGGCGGCAGTGCAGCCATCTTGAATTTTTGCATTACGCTGTCGCTACGGCAAAAAGTTTGATTTTGTTGAACTTTTCGGCGTAATCGTGACGGAGTTGTAACGTTTGTTTTTGTAACCAAAGCTGCTTTCGGGTGCCTCCCTTTGAGCGCTCCCGAGTTAATCTGAAGTACTCTGTTGACCTCTCCAGTTTCAAGCGTTCGATTGCAAAACGCATGTATGACAGGTGTGAAGTGTTCTAGGAGCTTCGCACTCTGCACCCGAAAGCGGCTCAAGTTATCACTAGCACCCTGCAGGAATCTCTGATTTTCTGAAAATATAGGTCGTACCCAAAATCCTCGTTGCATTAGTTGCATTTTTTTCTGAGGCGCCTTAGCAAGTTGCTGTTAGAACAACACTTTTACTCCTCATCATTCTGTATTTTATTTTGTCAATACTGTCCTATAAGAACAATCACAGAAAACCAGAGGAAAAACTACAACAACAAATTGATAAATTTGAATTACAAACCTGGCAAAAAATCTTAGAGCAAAAATAAACAAGACATTTAGGAGGTTAGAAAATTGTTTGTATTTTGGTTTTGATGCACTTAAATGCGGCCCATGCGGGATGCTATGATGGCGTTTTCCATTTGTCGTCTCAGTGCAGCATTCAGTGCGCACGAGAATTTTTCTGGTGCTATCAAAAACGCACACCAGTGCAGTATAAAGTATAAATGGAAAACGAAAATGCAGGCTCAGATCAATGATGATACACACCTACAGGATTGCTTATTGGCTTCGTTTTTGGTAATCGCCGCTATATGTGTATCATCATTTTCAACGTCATAACTAAGTCGTCAGCTGTTTAAACAGCCTACGTCAAGGCGAGAAATCACATGCTGTCTACGTCACAACGGGTGATTTGGGTTGGGGAGGGAAGGGGGGGATTTGTTCCACACAGGCCTTATGAGGATAGGCCATCCTGTAGTACTAGAGTGTGTAACATCCTTGGACTCGAATTACCCAAACTTTTTATGAGGTCATTTAAAATCATATGTTGGTTAGTGCTGTGTTGGGGTTTGGGAATAAAATAGAAGCCCGATTGAAATATAATATAGGTAAGTACTTTAATAAGTCTGTTCCAACCGACATGAGAACCGTTCTAGAACGGTAATTTCTAGTCGACCAATTAATTTGTCAATAGGGTACTTGCATGGAACATTAAATTGATTATTAGGTTCGTTCCAACCCCCCGTTTTCGTATCGTCATGAAACGGTTTCGGAACTGTTAGGATCGATTGCAGGCGCATGCGTTGACCTTGCACGGTTTTATCTTGGTACAGAAACAACGGGTAGTTGGAACGGTTTCATGATCGTTTTCGTAATGACGACAGTTCAAATAACTTTAACCGAGACTTTAACCCTAAATTTGTTTGTTTGCAAATTAAAATAGAAGAATGTAGGATTAGGATTACAAAATAATATATAAAAAAGGAAAATCGAACACCAACGCTGATTCATTATCAAGAATCTAAAACTGAATAGTTGCAAGCTGATAACATCAAGGATTAGCAAATAGCTGATAATAAATTTTGTACTTTTTTTCACTTGAAAAAATAAAAATGCTACAGTTTTATAAGTTAGATTGGAAATTGGTTGTTTAACAACAACATGAACAACAAAAACAGGTGACAAAAATTGAATTACGCATGTCAGTCATGAATCAGTCCACCCGGTTCTTGCTTTCCATTCGGGATCGAAATGACGGTGCTAAAACCAGTTCTCGAACGATCCCAGGTTTGGTTGGAACGCCAACGAAACTGTACGGTAAACGATCATCTCTCGGTTGGAACGCGTTTAACCTATGGCGCATGACCGTGACCGTACATTGTACGGTTTTTGGCTGGGTTGGAACGAACCCATTGTTTATTGCAAACTATAGGAAATCGAAAAAAAATCGATGCGTGTTTTTTTATTTTATACAAATATGATTATTTCGAAAGTTATACATATATTAAGTTTTGTTTATATAAATATACTGAGCATGTGCGACGTCACAACGTATTATAAGTTATGACGTCAGAAGGACAGTTCAAAGCGTTGTATCTCCATCAATTTTTGGCTAACAAGAAAAAGAAAAAACACGTGTTGGCTTATTTTCCATGAACTATCGAAATCAGCAATAAAAAAATTTGATGCAAGGGGCCTATTAGGATAAACGATCAAGTTATTGAAAAATAGGTGGGCAACTGGAAATTACCGTTCTAGAACGGTTCTCATGTCGGGTTGGAACAGAGCTAATATATAGAGAAATTAACAAAATAATGGATGTGATGTGGGGCAGGTTGTCTGGTAATGGGTAACCTGATGACGCGTCTGGGGTGCCTTAGGAGATTTACATTACATTAAGGCACCCCGGATGACGTCATACAGTTATCAGGCAACCGAGACAACCTACCTCTCTCAAGCAACCTTGATGTGGGGCATTATTTATGACGTTAGCATGTCGCAATGTTGCCACATCAACTTCGTTTTACTTTGACATATCATGTCTACATAGTAAAGTTTCATTTTCCCAGGTTACATTTTTACTAATAAATTGATAGGAATCACTTGATACCAAAAAAACGAAAATCTAATAATACAATTTTATAGCAAGTATACTTAAATTATATTCCCGACTCGTTAAAATTAAAAACTGATCTCAAATTATTTAAATCAATAACCGAAGATTTGCAGAAGGCAACATTTGGCAACATTACCCACGCCCACGAGTCAGTCATGAGTGCCAACCTAAATCCCATTTTATCGGCAAATCGGCAGATTCCTTAGATAAGGCAGATTCGGTCACATGATCCGACGTCCGACTGCATTCTATCTCTTTTTTAACTAGGGTTAAACAAAACAGAAAATACTCTCCGAGTTTAAAACGAATTTTAATTTCTCACAAAGCCGCGATACTCAAAACATATCCATATTCGATCCGGATCAATTTTTTTTAACACCGATCCTCCTCTTATAGTATCGACTAATCCAAAGTATCGATAACTTAAGTATAGATGATCTGAAACCAATAGTCCTTTTCACGAGCGTGGTTCCGGTATAAACTAACCAGGTTACAAAACAACAACAAAAAAAAGTAGTTGTATGTCAAATGATGACGTCATTGAAAATGGCACTTGAAAACGAACGGTTAGAAAAATGTTATTTTAAATTAGGAAATCGAGCGACCTGTCAATATTTATATAGGTTGATGTACCCTCTAGTAACTGCACACTGCACCTATATGCTGGTTAGAGAAATGACATACCGTTTCCTAACCCGATTACATAGTGACGTCATCGATACCACTCGAATTTGAGCGGTATGTTGCGGTTTGCTAAACCGGAGCCACGTGAAAAGGGCTATTGCCTTTAAGCTTTTTCTAGTAGTAAAGATATCAGTCAGCGAGTAGCGACGCGTCAAAATATAAACGTCAATCATGATAAAACGTCAATTTCAAACATACAAAAATTTAAGGAGAATACACACTCTAATAGCGTTTTCCATTTGTCGGACCAGTGCAAAAAAAATGTATCCTTATCCTTACATGTTACATGCTTTTAGAAAAAGATGAGGATACACTCAGTGCGCACTGATTGACTAATGGAAATCGTCATAAGGAGTGCTTATCGGCCTCGTTTTTGGTAATCGCCGCCATATTGGTTTTCAACCATTGCCGACGTCATAACTAAGTCGTCAGCTGTTTAAACAGCCTACGTCACGGCGAGAAACGCCATGCTGCTTACGTCACAACTAGTTGTTTGGCGTGGGGGGTAAGGGGGGATTTGTTACACTGACACAGGCCTTATGAGGATAGGCCATCCTGTAGTAGTAGTGTGTATCGTCCTTGACAGAAATCAAGGTTCCTAAAATTCATGGCCTACTGTTCATCAGTCAACAGGAACTCTGGCATCAAGGAAGTTTGTTCTAAAGTTAGAAAATTTGCTGACAAGCACGAAAAAACAATCCCAAACAATTACCACAGACGATATAAGAGAGAAAATTCTAGACAGGCTGGCAGCTTTTGCAACCCAGCAAAAGGTCATTATCCAAGATGCGACAGAACATATCCCATTCACTTCAGGTGAATTCTACGCTGCACTAAAGGAAAAAAAAGACTCAGCACCGGGACTTAACGAAATCTCCTACTCCATGATCTCAAATCTTCCAAAAAAATTCAAACATCAACTCCTGTACATATACAACAACCTGATGAGGGGAGGGGTGACCCTATACCTGATCAGTGATCAGTGGAAAGTATCTCATCTGTCTCCTACATTACGCTCGCTTTCAATGAAGGGTGTAAAGTCAGTCCTCGCAATTTTTCCTGGATATCAAAGCAGCATACGACAATATTGATTTGCAGAAGTTATATACAAAAATGACCAGGCTTAACATCTCCACAGAAATCTGCAACCTGATACATGAAATATTAGGAAATAGAAAAATTTACATTAGAAACACAAAAGGACAGCTGATTGGCCCGAAAGTGGTGAACTCTGGACTTCCGCAGGCCTCGCCTCTAAGTACAATTTTGTTCAATATATACATACAGGAATTATTCGAATCACTACCAGAGGAAACCCAAATTATGGGATATGCAGATGACTTTGTAATATTCTTAAAGGGAAAATCCGCTTTGCAGATGGCAAATAGTACAAATTTCTCCCGAATATCTTTGGAAAATGGTTGAGGGAGAGCTGTCTGAGACTGTCCTATGCTAAATGCGAGGTGGTTCACTATGCTAAAGGAAACAAGAGAAATGGAATTCAAACCATCAAAATCAATGGTAACATCATCCCCCTCCGAATAAGCGTTAGGTATCTAGGTATACATCTGGACAACCGTCTAAGCTTTCATAAACACACAGAGAATATAATACAGGAGGCAAAAAACGGACTCAATGCAGAGTATGATGGTGTGGTTCTGACCCTCTAACTCTGAGAATGGTCCTACAAGGACTGGTATTATCCGATCTGGATTATGGAGCCTTTTTTGTTGAAGCCACTCTCGATCTCGAAAAAGAACCAACAGAAAATCAACAGTGTCTTCAATGCAGGACTCAGAGTCATTCTGGGATGCATGAGGTCTACTCTCATACATGCACTAATGGCGGAGGCAGGAATGATGGATCTGGAATACAGGAGAAGATGGCTCGCTGTCAAATACTTGTCCAAAATCTACAGCTTCAAAAATCACCCACTTATAATCATAATAAAAAAAAGAAAAGATCACAAGATGTACAATGCAAATTACTGGAAAGGTGTTGAGGTCCTCTATCTGATACCGGCATACAACTACTTCCTGCCTTATGGGAGAAGGATGATATGGAGAACTGCCTTGCCATGCTTTGAAATGGAAAGGGAAGTCCAGTTGAGCTGTTTGCCGGTCATAGAACTCCATTTAGGAAAACATGAAACCAACACTATTAATAGATTCAGGGCAAGTATTGACTCGCATACACACAAATCTACACGGATGGCTCTAGGAAGGATGGAAAAACTGGATATGGTATTCACTGCCCCAGCAAAAAATACAACTTCTCTGCAAGATTGCAGGGCGAAATGGATATCTGCACATCCGAGATGGTAGCTATAAATGAGGGAGTGCGCTATGCATTCCAAAAAAAACATACAAAATGCACTGATCTTGACTGACTCAAAAAGTGCAATAGACAAGTTGAAAACAACCTACATTAATCCTGACAGCAGTGAAATAGAACCTAAAACCGAAAGACTTATTGTAGAAGCTAATTTTGCAAACAACATTAAGTTAGCATGGATTCCGGGCCACGTTGGCCTGGCTGGCAATGAATGCGTTGACAAGCTTGCCAACATAGAAAGAATTCTAAATGTTCCAAAGGACTCTCCCTCTGGAACCATCTCACATCCTTCCTCTGATCAAAGCAAAAATAAATTGCGAACCTGCAGTCTCTTGGAAGAAATCACTCCAATAAAAAGGAGAATTGGTACAGGCAGATGCAAATTTCCCAACGAAAATATGGTTCAAAGATCTTCAATACACACATAGACGGCATATCACGTCCATCACTAGGATGCGTACAGGGCACTGTTCGACAGGACAGCACCTTTGCAGGATAGAGGTGAAAGAGAATCCGTACTGTGAATGTGGCCAGATTGAAAACCTGGACCACATTTTCCTGGAATGCCCCATTAATCGTATACCGAATTACGACATCTATCAAATTTTTATCAACAAAAAAATCCCAGCCCCATTCAATATGGCCATCATACTTTCTGAAATAAGTCCTGAAGCTGTTTTGATTCTAAATAGATTCCTTACTGACAACAAGATTGATATATGAAAATACATTCGCCTCTCCTCTTACTGTTATTGTGTTCCAGACTCACTGTATCCTGTCCACCTGTGACTGTCTCATTTCCATTGTAGAAGTGCCTTCGGATTTCCCTTTGTTGTATCGTTTTACTAACATTGAATCTCAAACAAAGTAACTAAATCTTAAAAAGACATCAGTAATATACACAAAAGTTTGCGAACATAATGCTTGGGATATGGTTTAGAGTCAGACACACCCCAGGCGCATCCGATTTTTTTTTTCGACTAATTTAGACCCCTTCTATCGATTGGAAAAGTCAAAATTTCGAAAAAATTAAAAATTGACTTGTTTTTCCGAAGACAACTTTGACTTGAGGCTCATCAATTGCTCCAAAAGTATTTGAGCTATTAAACTCAATTTAGCATAGAGAATTTAATGCTTTTTCTAATAGTCCATAATTTCTTTGGATCTGCTCAATTTTTAATGGAATTACTGGCAAATATGATTGCGCTTTCTTCAATAACGGACCACAAAACAAAAGTCTTAATATGGTAATGAACGTGGCAATGATCTGGGCGAATTTATTTTCTTTTCTTTTTTTTTTTTGGGGTCATTGCACGAAATTGCCTACGGCTTACTCAACGTTTTATAACCGAAGAAATTGAAAGTTGGCCTGCTGCATTTGAAACCGAAATAGGAAAGTTGTTGTCGTAACGGTACTTGATGTTGTAGTACCATCACATCAGGGTGGAACAAGTTTGTCGTCAATTGGACATCAATCTCTATGAATTTCATATTGTTTTTGATCCATCCTGTATGTATTACATTTTGGTGGGCGTCAAGATGCAATAAGTGAAAGTATACAAAACCGTTTAAAACTGAAAGTAGGTACCATAACATTATAGTACCATCAAAGTAAAGTATTGTATAGTTAAATTCGAGAGCAACTAAAATGTTCCAAATTTGTTCCTTTCCTAGGCCTATTTTTGGTTTTAGGTATATGAAGTTGAATGTTATACAAAATTAATATAAATATGATTTATTACTTCTATATCCGTTTCGTGTATAAGGGAAAGTTTTGTGGGAACTAATCAAATCTTTCATGTTTTAGATAGATTTTTATAGAAATTTGGAATATTTATACAAAAATTTCCGTATTGAAATTTTGTTTTAAGGAACAAAAAATAATTTAAAATGTTGATTAAAAACGATAATGAGTTTGTGTGTTTATGCTCAGGCAAAATTGCCAATTGTCGTGTATTTGTAAAGTAGCGTATTTTACAATTTTTTTAAATAGACATAAAACATAATCGTATAGCCGTAGAAAATAACAACAATAAGATAATTAAGCCGCTCATATAAATAGAATTTATTATCATTAAGCCTGGCGTGACATGCAAGTTAAAATTTTGATTTACAATAAATTATTGCGTATCGATCAATTAACACAAAAAAAATCAAGTTCTACTTACCATTGTATAGAATTCCGAACTCAATCCGTTCAAGGTGATCCTGCAAAATAAATTCGAGTCAGTTTAAATGTCAGCAATATAAAACACTATTTTATGTATTGAGATTCTAGTGTGAAAAAATCTAGAAATTAATAGTTATTGCGTGTGTTTGTTGGTGTAAATTTCAAGATTTGGGTCAGGATTCTTGGGATTAAGAGCCCCAATCTTCTTGAAGTTTCAGTGTAAATTTTAAATTTGGATGTTTCATGCCTTCTCCTACTAACCATCATAGCTTTTACAACATTTTTATAACATCCTTGTGAAATTCTTACTTCCAACTGAAATTTATACTAGGAAGACATGAAAATTCTATTCTCGGCGCTCCAAAATGATAAAGAAGAAAAATAAACGTTTTTGGGCGAGGCGCCCGAAAAAAAAATTCGCTTTGACGATATCCTGATGGGCTTCAGAGCTGTGCGGTACTCGGGTACGGTACGAGTACTCTTCACTTGTACTCTAAGTATATTTTTAGTTACTCGGTACTCAGGCCAAGATACTTTCTGAATCGCCTACTTGTACTCGTACTTGGACTGCTTAAGAATATAGAAAATAGGTACCCGGTACTTTTTATTGTACTGAGTAATTTTCAAAATACCCGCGTACATGCGTTTTTACTTAAATAGATTTGTTATACCCGGGTATTTTCATTGTTTTCGAATACATTTGCAGTTAGTGAGTAAAATTATTGGACTCTAACTAAATATGTACATATTTATTTGGCCACAAGTACATTTCCAGACAAATTGAGATCTGACATTAGATCTGTTGAACGATTTCGAAACCACTCAGTGAACGAATTTCGGTTTCTACGTAGGCCAAGGCACTTAGCGAAATAACAGCCATATTTTAACATAAAATTTAACAGCAAACTATCGATGCAATATTGTTAAGGATCATTTACAGATGCTAAAAACCAAAAATGCAACATCTAATTACTTTTAGGGAATTTTATAAACAATATTTAGTGCAAAAATAGTGCTTTTTTTGGTTTATTTCACTGTATTTCGAAAACTAATGATCGGATGGTTTTGCTACTGTGGCAATAGTTTTAGAGCATTGAACAAGCTTTACAATGACAATATTGATACTGATGGCCGATGGGTCATAAAATATCCACCTACCCGATAACCGATTGGGCCGAGTCCAACTATCGTAAAATTGTCACCCTTTTCCCTATTCCGGAACAGGTGAATTTTGTGGCCGAATTCAAGGATCCCGGAGCGAAACACATGTCACTATTAAGTGAATCAAATAATAAACAATCTGTGTGTTAATATGTGGCTTTTCAAATTATGTTTTAGCTTAAATTTTGCATTGCAAGTGTCACATTCAAATGGATAAATATCCGAATGTGTTAGTTTGTGAATTTTTAAATCGGCTTTCCGTTTGAATTTTGATTTGCAAGTTTCACATTCAAAAAGATAAATATTTTGTAAATTACCTTTTCCTTCAAATTTTGCCTTGCAAGTGTCACATTCAAATGGATAAATACCCGAATGTGTTAGTTTGTGTATCTTCAAATCGCGTTTCCGTTTAAATTTTGATTTGCAAATGTCCCATTCAAAAAAATTAAATATCCAAGTGTATCAATATGTGTTCCTTCAAATCGCCTTCTCTTCTAAATTTTGCATTGCAAATGTTACATTTAAAATTCTCCTCATCCGAGTGTGTTAATATGTGGATTTTCAAACTACGTTTGTGTTCAAATTTTGCATTGCATGTGTCACATTTAGAAGGATAAATATCAGAATGTGTTAGTTTGTGTCTCTTCAAACAGTCTTTTGCTTTGAATTTTGCTTTGCAAATGTAACATTCAAAAAGATAACTCTCGAAGTCTGTTGATATGTGACTTTTCAAATTACCTTTTCGTTTAAATTTTGCTAATTTAAATTTTTCTTTAAATTTTGCATTGCATATGTTGCATTTAAAATTCTTCTCGTTCAAGTGTGTGAGGTTGTGTCTCTTCAAACTGCCTTTTCTTTTAAATTTTGCTTTGCAAATGTTACATTTAAAATTCTTCTCATCCGAGTGTGTTAATATGTGTGCGTTCAAATCACCTTTTCCTTTAAATATTTTCTTACCAGTGTCACATTTAAAAGGAAAAATATCCGAGAGTGTTGATATGTGACGCTGTAACTCATTTTTTTCCGCTTTGTAAGTGATACATTCAAAAGAACAAATATCCAAATGTGTTATTAAATTATGTTTCAAATTTGATTTGGTTTTAAATGTAACATTGCAAGTGTAACATTGAAAGTTCCTAATAACATCTTGTCTTGATAAATTGATGTCACTCGAATGTTCTTTTTCCTTTATAAATATTCCTTTATTTGGATCTATTAATTCAATATCTGATTCTTCTATTTCGTTTTTAATGTCATCCTCTATGTATGTAGACTTGGTAATTTTTTTCTTTTTTTTTATGGTTTAAAAATCGGGTGTCTTTGAGAAATATGGACAGATTTTTTGATTTTCTAAATAGATAAAGGACACAATCAATTCAAAATACCTATTCTATGAAAAATAACATTATTTTCTCCGTAATTGAATGTAATTTTTCCGAATTTGAATTTACTTTTTCCGAATTTGAATTTACTTTTTCCGAATTTGAATTTACATTTTCCTAAATAATAGTATATTGTTTTATTAGGAGTAAAAGTTTTTTTCTCCGAATAAAACATGCGATTTTTTCCACAAACGGTGTTCAAAGCGATGGAATCTAGGAAATTTTTGTCACGTCACTTTTTTGTCCGGCCATGGGCGTACAAAAAAGTACTTTTTTGTACGCTCACGGAACGCGCGGACAAAAAAGTGACCAAAAAAATGACGCCTGTGAAGTCAAACTTCAACATTAAGAATTGATGTTAAAAAAGTTGTCATTTTTTGACGTTTGCGGAAAAAAGTTACTTTTTCCGAAATTGAGGTTGAAATGGTGTAGAATGAGAAACTACCTCATGTGATACTTCCTTTGGAAGGTTTTTTATTCCTCTTTGGAGGCATGCAGAAGCAGATAGAATTACAATAAACACATTATTTGGTCGATATATAATTTAACATCATATTTGTTGCAAACCTCCTCTTTCGATTGGTAAAGTCAAAAATTGCAAAATCCAAAAATTTAAAAATTCAAATTTTTTCAAAGGGAAAATGGAAATTTGATTTTCAAATATTTCAAAGGGCCATATTTTAGAAACCAGTAAAGCTATCGGCATGAATATTTTGCCCAATTGTAGCTCTTGAGAAGGGCTATAAAAAAGGTTATTTGAGATTCCGAGCTCAAGGGCTTCGTTTTCAAGAAAATCAGCTTTGAATCTTTTGTGAAATTTGAGACAAAGTTTTGACTTTGAGTCTCAATATCTTCGAAAGTATTTGAGATAAAGGATTGAATCTTATTTTATCTTGAAGATAATTTAATTCTGATTCAAAATATATAATTATACATCATAAAATGTGCAATTATAACCGAATAATGAGTGGTTTAGTAAGACAATGTCAAATTATTGAAAATTTGAGCTCAAAAATTGCAATAATCGTTTTTATTTTTTTACAAGCTCTAAAACCCCAAAAAAAAGTTGCGTTAATGCTTTTCCACTAAGTTTCACCTCCTCTTTCGATTGGTAAAGTCAAAAATTGCAAAATCCAAAAATTTAAAAATTCTAATTTTTCCAAAGGGGAAATTGATTTTCAAATATTTCAAAGAGCCATATTTTGGAAACCAGTGAAGCTATCGGCATAAATCGTTTGCTCAATTGTAGCTCTTCAGAAGAACTATAAAAAAGATTATCTGAGACTCCGAAACCAAGGGCTTCGTTTTCGAGAAAATCAGCTTTGAATCTTTTGTGAAATTTGAAACAAAGTTTTGACTTTGAGCCTCAATATCTCCAGAAGTATTTAAGATAGAGAATTGAATCTTATTTTATCTTGAAGATAATTTAATTCTGATTCAAAATATATAATTATACATTATATTTTGTGCAGTTATAACCGAGTCCTTATAAACTCTGGACTCTGGATAACCAAATCAAACTTCAAAATTGCTGAATTCATTTAGTAAACCAAAATGTGTTTTTCAATTTTTGATGTGTGAACATCTATACCGGCGGTTTGATGGAAAATTTCGGGAAATGTGACGGAAGTGTGGAAGGGGAGGTGACGTCATAACCCATGTGCAATGCTAAGTTCGCAGCTACCTCAGCGCTTGCAGCCTATGAGGATTCATTAGATTTCCATGATACATCAAGGCTGTTTAAAAGAGGACGTTGCGTAATAACTTGTACCTATGAATTGGGTAGGAATGCAAAATGGTATTAGAATGTATTCATATATGTACACGGTACTTTGAATACTTGTAATTATACTCTGTACTCTAGAACATTCTACGCTAAGTACTTGTACCCGGTAGCCGAGTTCATTTTGCCTGTACTCGAAACAGCTCTGACTATGCTACGCCCGGTCGCCTATATTACATCGTCTGGTCTAAAATTGAAACCCTTTTCAGCATAGACCATCAGCGGCCATTACTGCTCTAAACCCCCCCCCCCCCCCCCCCAATGTAAAAGCTATAGCTACGTCGTTGGGTGATGGTCAAAAAGGTTGTTTAAGTACACTAAGTTAAATCTCAAAAAGTACCTATTATACATTTCTAGTTCAAAATGCAGCTCTAGGAAATCCAGTAGAAATGGGATTTTTACTTCTCTTTCTTTCAATAAAATGAGTAATGCCTCAAAAACTATATGTAAGCTACAAATATGATATTTTGTGGTATTATTAATGAGGCATTGCAACAGGACATACTGAAAATTCAAATTAATTCAACGCTAAATGATACTCTGACGAAATTTCTCAATCAGAAAACTGGTTTATTGAGACCCATAAAAATATATTTATTTTACCACAATATGAATTATGATGATGACTATAATTGTATAAAAATAAAAACATAAAATCCTCATTGAGGTAAATTATACTAAAATTTTATACAAATAAATAAACAAGGTGACC